TTGTTAAATCTCTTTCTTAATAGACTTCGAGCTTAAAAGTAACTAAACAAAAAGGGGAAAACGATCGGTTTGATGTTAAAATTAAAACCTCACCACAAAAGAGAAAGTAAAAGGCCAACCATCACCTGGGGCATACAGCCCACCACCATCCTTCCCGCACAGGAAACTCAAGCTGTGGCGAGGGAAAGGCGCCCAGGAACACAGACACTAAGAAGCAGGTCACAAGGGGGATTGTAACGCCTAAAACAAGATAAAGTGGTAAAACACACCATCGATCCGTGAGATGCCAATTAAACGTCTGTAATGAACGACACAAGGCTCAATTCAACTTGGGAGGGCTGCTCCTCAAGCTGTCCCCGTGCTGCAGGGCTCCCCTGGGGTGCCCCTGCAAGCCTGCTCCTGGGAGCCGTAGGCACACAGATCCCAACAGTGTTCTCCTGTCCTGTGACCCGGGAAGCCCACCTCCAAGGGCCAATCACAGGGGACATCCCACTCCCCAAAGCTGGGCACCACGTCACTGCTCATGGAGGGAGGACAAAGCTGATGCCAGCATCTCAACACGGTGGAAGACAGTGGAGTCACGACGTCTGTGGCCATGCGAAAGCGAGTGAAAAACAGGCGCTACCTGGATGAGACCGTGCTGTGCAGTCAACATACTGACGGTACAAAGAAGAAATTCAGCCGGCAAACATGGGGAAAAAGGGATTTTTCAACCCATTCAACCTTTCCGGTAATTGCATTTAAATTCCTAAAACGATCATTCCACCTGGAGGAATTCATCAGCTTCATGCAGACTGTTCATGACACTTTATTCTGATAACAAACTGGGAGGGCAGCAGCCTGAGTGTCCAACGGGGATTGGTAAGAGCTACACACTCACACCAGGCAGTCACATGGTGGAGGAAGACCACGGAGCTCCAGAAAGCAGACAGACAGGAGGACACGGCAGCCACACCCCACTGGATGAAAGCACACAGTTTTACTTTGTACTTCATACTTTATTTTCTAAAATACCCATGATCACTTTTATAACGAGAAAGAAACCCATAATATTTTTAAGTCCTTGACAAAACAGGAAGCAGCCTCAGCCCAGCGCATTTCTCTCTCAGGGACGGATGGAGGGGCCTCACTTGTTCCAGGGACTCAAGTGCTCCTCCCCTCCAGACCACGCCTCACAGCTCAGCGCCTGCTTTCCAAACGCCTCAGCCGATGCCACCAGCCCTGCGACGTCACAACTACACACCCAAGTACCAGGCGACCCTGACCGAGGTGCGGACTGTTTTCCCAATCAAAACCACCAAAAGGTTTTACAACCAACTTTGCCAACGTCGAGGGGGGAAAGTGCCAAGTTTTCTAACGCATTTAACTACATACAGATTCCAAATCACATGTCATGAAATACTAATTTAGAAAAACTACTTTCTTCCACTCTCACATCTCACGAAACGGGCTGAGTCAGCCTACACGTGCATGCTTGTCGCCTCTGGGACAATCCAGGCCTGCCATTCTGGTCATCTGCCAGGCTCACCAGAGAAAACCATCATCCCCAACCACAGTGCAGCCACTGCTCGGCTAGCACAGGATGTCAGGGGTTTCCATCCCCGGCCACACCACCCATCCACCACTCACAGTCCTCCCAGACCACGGCATGAGCTGTTTCCAAGGAGACTTTCAAGGGCTCACTGCTATCACCCCCAGGAGGCCAGCCACGGGCAACCCGGCCAGCACCCCCAGGCTCAGATGTTCCCTGTGCCAAATCAGTGCTGTGCGCTCCCTCAAAGAAGGTGAGAGTCTGAGGAGCACAAAGACTCCCCTGGGTCCTTCGTCTGAGGATAGGACACTCACGTGACACCCAACAGTACCTCAGACAAGCCCTCCCAAGATGCACCAATCCCGCACCAGCCAGCACCGCCACAGGAACTTACCTGGACACGAGGACGGCAGCTGCATCCCGGGCCTTGTCGCTGACAACCAAGTAGGACTACAAGAAAGTACAAAGGACAGGCAGTGTCACACCACAGGAGGCAGACCTCAGAGACCCCGCGCGGCCAGCCCCACACTCACTAGCCCCCAAGTGCCCAAGTGCACGAAGCTTATAGACAGAAGCCAAATGCAGAGCTGCACAAACTGCTCAACCCAGAACCCACAATTGCAGCTACCAACGGCCACCCTCAGCCCAGTCAGTGCCTGATCCACACAGAGCGCACGGTCATACATGACACACACATTCACAGAAACAGCGCAGGAAAATGAAACACAGTCAGAGTACTCCCTGAGCACCTGACACGCCCAGGCACTTCCAGCAGGTAGGGTCCGTCAGCATGTTAACATTCAGATCAGCAAGGAGGCCCCATTCAAACGGAAGAGGAGTTAATGCAGATGCCTGGATATTTTTAGGAGACCTGCCCTAAGAGGTTGCCAATTCTCATCTCTACTTTTGTTTTTCCAAATGACACACTTAGATGATCTTTTCTTCAGGCTTTCTGGAGGGCAATCATATACAGGGTGCCAAGTCTTTAGAAATCGTACCCCCGGCCTGGCAATCCCACTTGGTAGGCAAGTAAACAACGTAATGATGAAGAGTGTAAAAGGCTCTTCATCACCACATGGATGTGAACGCAACGAAACTAGAAACAAAAGTCCATCTATAAGAGAATATTTTTAAAATTACGGTACAATAGAGTACCTTTTCCCTAAAATCTTTACAATGGAGCATCTTTTTTCTCAAAGACTATGAGGGGACACTTACTGACATCACAGGACAGGACAGTCTGTCACGGGCCTTGTCCCAGGGGCAGTGCTGAGTGCTGACGGACAGCACAGCCTCCAGAGCCAACCACCTAGCTCAGGTTTGGACGCACCGGTGACGAGCCCAGCACTGCCTACCTTCCTTAGCTCTAGACCTGATGGCGCCTCAGTCAAATAGGGGTAAAAACTGTCAACTACCTCATAAAGTAGAATTAAATGATTAATCTACTAATCACAGATTAATGTGATTAATCATATTAATCAATCATCTACAAATCATCAATTTATAGATGAAATCCATAAATGATTAAAGAATTAACCTATGAAATGTTCAAAACAGGGCCTGGCCCACAGCGGCACTCGGTGAATGCTGACTACTCTTGTAAGTGTGGCAAGAGACCCTCCCCCGCCCGGTGTTCACACCCCACGCAGAGCCTCCGCCTGTGGTGTACATAGTCACTCGCTTCCAAACAACAGATCTGGCAAAGGGGACAGAGTATCACTTCCATCGTCAGGCAACATGGCATCGTGACTTCTATTTCACCAGCATACTCTCTCCCTTGCTGGCTTCGACAAAATAAACTGCCATGCTGCAGGTGCCCACATGGCGAAGAAGCCAACAGCCGGCAAAACACTGAGGTACTCAGTCCAGCAGCTACGAGGAACTGACGTCTGCCGACAACCACGAGAGCTGGGGCAGACCCTGCTGGAGTCCAGCTGTGGCTGCAGCTGTGGGCAGCCTTGAAGTCGCCGCCCAGCTACCACGCCAGACCCCTGACGCACAGAAACCATGAGAGGATACATGTGTGTTGTGGTAAACACTCGAGTTTGAGGTGATTTTATGCAGCAACAGGTAACTAATACAATAAGCTATGTTTATTTGCATAATATTTGCATCAGGGAAAGGTTAAAGAAAATATAAAACTGTTACCTCCTGGCACTAGAATTTGACAGATTTTAATATTTTTCTTGCTAATCTGTACTTTCAAATTTTTCTGCAATGATCATTATAAGTATGTAATGTTTTACCAAGAACTAGATATAAAACAAGTCATTTTCTCTTCCCATTGGCACTGAATCCTCTTACGTCTCACTATTACGCTTGACAGGATATTTGTGTTATCTACAGAGAAATAAGATTTGCTGAAATAATTCATCCTAACCCCTAATTATCACAATTCTAAAATTAGTTATGAAGTGGGATTTTACCCCAGTGAAAAACAGTAACAGTAGCTGAGAAACACCTGACTGCTGAAAGCTTAGCTAATTAAATGGCAGTATCAGACAGCATGAACACGGAAGAGGGCACTGATGAGCCACTCAGTACCTGCGTGACCACACTTACCTGTGCTATCTGGAGAATGCGGTCCATGATGGACATTCGTGCCTGCCCAGGTTGGGTAAGGAGATTCCCGTCAAGGCGTGAAAGATCAAAAGGGATCAGGCAGGTCACAGACAGCCACAGTAAGAGCATGTAGCGAGTCTCCCAGGTCTAAGAAGATAAATCACACCGAGAATGATTCCTGCCTGGAAGACACAGGTCATCTGCCAGACCCCACTTACAGTCTGCTGTCCTCCCTGCCCACCAACACCCTGCAGGCCCTTCAAATGCCATCAGGCTCAGGGCCAGGGATGCAGATCACCTGTCAGCTCCTCCCACGTCCCCCGGGACTCCCACCATACACGCCCATTGACACCACTTAGCTGACTAACTCGGCAGACAAAAGACACACTGAAGTGAACAAACAAAAATCGTGATACGTGGGTATCATGGCTTCTCTTCACTGGCACCTTTCAACATGCAAATCGGCCTTTTGAGAAAGTTAAAAAACAGATAAAAAGATAAAAAACAGAAGACTTAAGAAAAAAGTCTCAACTTCTAGTAAAAAAGGAGTGCCTGTATTGTCAGTAACCAATAAAACAGGATTCCAATTTGGCCTGCAGTCCTTCCACGGGGCACTGGAACACTCTGGCAAGAAGGGCATCAAGTACCAGACAGCAGGGAAACAACCCCTGGTCTCCGACGCCGATCAGGCACATTCACGTCAAGACAATTCCAAGTCGTTAGTAACAAACCGTGTGCTCTTCTGAACGTGTACGGCACAAAAAAGAGCCCCACTGCCGTCGTCAAAAGGGCCGCTGGCAAGGTGGGCCCTCAGCTGGCACCAAGGAAGGGGGGTTTCGGCAGGGTTCCCACCAACCCCGGACTGATGAGGGTGCCTCACTGGGCTTAGACCATTTGCACAAACCCTGTGGTTCATCAAGCACCTGCTTTCCTTCCGGGATCTGGAATTCTGCTTCACACTGGGCAGGGGTGTCCACAGGACCAGAGCCCAATAAAAGCCCTGGGCACTGGGTCCCTCACGTGCTTTCCTGGCGGACACTTCACGTGTGCCGTCACAGCTGCCAGTTGGGGAGTCACACACGCCCTGTGAGGCTCCCCTGGGAGAAGACTCTGGAAGCCTTGTTCCCCTGGACTTTGCGCCACCTGCCTTTTCCCTCTGCCAGTTTTGCTCTGCATTCTTTTGCTGTAACGGACCACAGCCAAGAGGGCGAACACGCGGAGTCCTGTGAGTCCTCCCAGGGAACCCCCGACAGTTATGCTTCAAGTTAGACAAACCACGGACAACGATAAATTTATCACCAAACTGTACCTAGGCATAGTTTTTCTTCATAAAGGGCAAATTTGAGTGGAAAATGATTGGAAGCACCGTGTGTAAGAAGTAAAGAGAAAGCCAAAAGAATAAAAGGGGAGGAGTAATGCAAAACAACCTGAGAGAAAACGGGGGGAACAGGAAGAAAAGCAGAAAGCGCCAGCGCAGGTGTGCAGCACACGGGGAGGAAAGAGGAGCCGGAGGGGCTCGAGTGGAGAGAGGAAGCAGCACTCGCCTCGTGGTCCTTGGGGTCCTGGCCTGCAAACATGTCTAAAACAGGCTCCACATCAGCTACTTCATGAGGAAATAAACGAAGAAATATTTTATATCCTCGAACCTACAAAATTAAGAGACACTGAATTATTCCATAGTTGGAAAATGCAGGAAGTAGCAAAATGATCTCTTTCCTCTCTCCTCAAAAATCACCACCATTGGCCAAGCTTGGTGGCTCACGCCTATAATCCTAGCACTTTGGGAGGCCAAGGAGAGAAAATTGCTTGAGGCCTGGAGTTGAAGACCAGACTGAGCAACACAGCAAGACCCCATCTCTATCGAAAAAAAATTAAGAATTAGCCAGGCATGGTGGGACAAATCTGTAGTCCCAACTAGTCAGGAGGCCAAGAAAGGAGGATGGCTTGAGCCCAGGAGTTTGAGGCTGCAGTGAGCGATGACAACACCACTGCACTCCAGCCTGGGTGACAGAGCAAGACCCTGTTCTCAAAAAAAAAAAAAAAAAATTGCCAACAATAGGTCTGTGGGCCAGCATACAGACATCACTTGGATGCTTGTGAGAAAAACCCCACCCTAGAACGACTTAACCAAAATCTGTAGTATAACAAGATTCCCCAGGAAATTCATCTGCACATTAAAGCTTGAGAAACACTTGCATTTCCACAAAGTGTTTTTGCTTTTTCCTCATAAGAAACTTTTCTGGTTTAGCCCTATCTCCTATCCCCTCCTACCCAGGTGGTGCCTTGGTATCTTGGACGTTGGGTCAACCAAAGGACCCCCAGGGATCACTAAGATCTGATTCTCAACACATGGTAAAGAGAAAACGAAACCCACGACTTGTGTCTAAGAACCATCTTTTTCCTGAGAAACAACATTTTGGAGGGTAGCTTATGGACCAAGGATATCAAGAACGTGTCTGTCAACTCTAAACTGCCACCTAATGTTACCTTGGTGATGATGTAAAGAAATTTAAAAGCCAGATGCATGAGGGCAGTTGGAGATGTCTTATCTCGCACCATGTCCAATAACAAGTTCATCATCCACTCTAGGGAAAAACACATATCAAACATTTACCATATTAAGCATCAATATGACATTGACTCAAACTACCAAAATAATTTGCTTAGTAATGTAAAAACGGTTCAATATTAGTAACACTGTATAACCCACATATCAATAGAACAAGGGAAAAAAAATGTTCATCTTAACAGTTTCTAAAAGGGCACAAGAGTTTACACAACAATCATTGCCACTTTTAAAATGTACTCTTATCTTACTAAGAAATTATTCTATCTCAAATCAACATCTAATACCATACTTTACAGAAGATATCGCCACAACTACTACAATTCAGCAACGATCTGGTTAGACGGTAAAAGAAAGAGCATTTCCACTTCCGGTCACAAAGGAGTGACTGATACAGAACCTGCCTCAGCCCCATCAACGTTACGTTACTAAACTCAATAACTGTTTTCAGACACCGATCCCTGAAACAGCGTAACAAACCAACTACACGCTGCCGCTGCCCGTGCCGTCTGCTGGAAGGTGATTTCTAGAACTCAGTGCAGGAAGAGAGGACTCCAGCAGAGCACAGTGATCCGTAAATTGAGGAGAGAGAGCCTGGAGTGCAAGGAGACTGAGACAGCTGGAATTTGCAGGGAAAAGTACGAAGGAAGAGGAAGCTAAGCAGGGAATGTGCTCCAGAGTCTGCAGAGAGGTCCCCCCGAGTCTCTGGCGGAATCTCCACACGCACGGGCGTAGTGCACAAGCCTGGGGGGAGAACCACCAGGAAGCACTAAGGCAAACAGTTCCTGAAGCTCACATCAGGCTGTCACTCAAATTCCATCAACCCAGAGTGCAGTCCTTGTTAAGCCCCCAGGACAACCAGTCAATATTCCAGAAAGGTCATCTCTTAGAAGTAAGGTTAAATGAGAGAAAAAATAGAGGAAAAGCCTAGACCTGCCCTAAAAAAGCTTTAAAAGGACTGAAAGGAATAGCCAAGCTCGGTGGCGCATACCCGCAGTCCCAGCTACTCAGGAGGCTGAGGCAGGAGAATCCCTTGAGCCCAGCAGTTCGGGGCTGCAGTGTGCCATGACCGTACCTGTGAATAGCCACTGCGCTCCAGCCTGGGCAACACGGCAAGATCACCCTGTCTCTAAATAAATAAATAAATTTTTTAAAGGGCTGAAAGGATATACATGATTTGCAAGTAGCTTAACGGCCTGCCAAACTTCAGCATTCTTTAAAGGAAGACCAAAAAATCATAACATTCAACACCATAACAATTACAATGTCTAAGATCCATTCAAAAATTACTAGACACGTAACTGTCTAAAATTACTGTGAGCCTCACCAGGAGGAAAATCAGTCAACAGAAATGACCCAGAAATAACAAAGGTGGTACAATTATTAGATACAAACTTCAAAACAAATACCATAAGTATTTCAAATATACTCAAGAATATCAAAGAAAACATGAGTAAGGCAGGATACGGAAGACATTAAAAGAAAAACAACTTCAAGGGCTGGAAAAAACATCTGAAATGAAAATTTAACTAAATGGGATTAACAGTGGCTTATACACTGAAGAAAAGATCCATGAACTTGAAGACACAGTAATACAAACTTCTATATTAAAGAGAAAAGAGCACAACTGAAAAAACTAAGCAAAGAGCCAGGCATGGTGGCTCATGCTTGTAATTACAGCTCTTTGGGAGGTCAAGGTGGAAGGATCGCTTGAGGCCAGAAGTTCAACACCAGCCTGAGCAACATAGTGAGACCCCACCTCTACAAAAAAAAAAAAAGAAAATTAGCCAGGTGTGGTGGCACACACCTGTAGTCCCAGGTACTTAGGAAGCTGAGGCAGGAGGATCGCTTGAGCCCAAGACTTGGAGGCTGCAGTGAGCTATGATAGAGCCACTGCACTCCAGCCTGGGTGACAGAGCAATACCCTGTCTCCAAAAAATAATTACCAAACCTTACTGAGAGACACAAAAGATCTGAATAATTGGAAACATAATACCATGTTTTTAGACAGGAAAATTAAATCTTACAAAGACATCTCCCCATATGAATTTGTGAATTTCATAGAATTCCAAAGGGATTTGTTGGATTGGGGAATAAAATAATTCTTAAATTCATCTGCATTAATAAAAGGGCTAAAAAATAGTCAAGAAAATAAGAGGGTCAGATACTACACAAATACATCATAAAGCAACTAACATAAAACAAACAGACCTGGAAAAAAGCACACAAAGAGATTCATGGGACAGGATAAAAAATCTAAAGACCAAGGCTAATATCTTTGAGTGTTTCATATAGATTTAAAATGGCATTTCAAGCAGGGGGAGAGGCTGCTGGATCACTCAATAAAGGAAGCTTACATAACTGATCAGGAAAAATACACTTTCTAAAGGCCAAACACAAAGAAAGAGACTGACAGCTCTGACGAGCTAAATATTTTTAAAACTTCAGTAGATAAAATACACGACACACATTAAAAGGCAAAGACAAAAGGCATGAAATATATACAACATACGACAAAAGGCTAGAATCCATGATTCTTGTTCCTTTTTCTAAAAGGGATCTGTTTTCCAGAAGATAATGAACTCCAAAAATCATTCGAAGCACTCTAAACAGCTCACAGCAAGTGTTGCTGTTCCATGATGCACTATGGAAGTAGGTCCAGCAAGAATAAAGGCATAACTACAGGTCCAAGGCTATTACTTAAAGAGAGGGAAACACCATCTTCCACCTCTTGAGCAGTGACCACATCTGTTTCCTGGGGACCAGAACTCACACATGGGAACCACCATGAGCCCAAGACCTACAACGAGACAAGGCCTGGGGAGGCCATTGCCCAGGGAGTCTAGGGCCTGCCTGCCATCCAGCTAGCCCATCTGCCAGACATCAGAGTCCTCTTCCCGGCAGCTGGCTCTCTCGCAAGGACCTCCCTCCTTAGTCCCCTCACCAGGACTACAAGTTTTCCCAGGAAAAGGGAAGACAAAGTTGATCACGATGAATTCTAGAATCCACAATTTATAGAATTTTTAAACCACATTTTTTTTTTTTTTTTGAGACAGAGTCTCACTGTGTTGCCCTGGCTAGAGTGAGTGCCGTGGTATCAGCCTAGCTCACAGCAACCTCAAACTCCTGGGCTCAGGAGATCCTACTGCCTCAGCCTCCCGAGTAGCTGGGACTACAGGCATGCACCACCATGCCCAGCTAATTTTTTCTACATAATTTTTAGTTATCCGATTAATTTCTTTCTATTTTTAGTAGAGACGGGGTCTTGCTCTTGCTCACGCTGATTTCGAACTCCTGAGCTCAAACAATCCGCCCGCCTCGGCCTCTCAGAGTGCTAGGATTACAGTCGTGAGCCACCACGCCCGGCCCTGGGGCAAGTTTTTAACCTCTCACAGCTGTGCTTTAGTTTCCTGATCTGTAAAATGTGGTAATAACTGACCTTCCATGAGCATTGTGAGGTTACTATGATGATTTAGTTGAGTTTTTAAAAAAAAATCATTCAGAACAAATCAAAAATAGTGAATATATATGAATGTACAATTCACAAAGGGAGAAACAATGTACAAATTTAACAATAAATGTAAACTGTAGTTCATCTTCAGTAAGAAACACCAAATTGCAAAAAAAAAAAAAAAAAATGTTATGCCTTTTTTACTGTCTAACAGACCAGCTTATTTTGGTAAAGATTTCAAAAATTCAAATCCCGCCTTGGCAAGCATATAAAGAAAGAGGAGGCTGGGTGCAGTGGTTCAAGCCTACAATCCCAGCACTTTGGGAGGATCATTTCAGGCCAGGAGTTTGAGACAAACCTGGGCAACATAGCAAGACCCTGTCTCTACAAAAAATTTTTAAAAAAGAAAAATGAAAGCGCACCTTCTAGAAAAGCTGTTACTTAAGAAAAAAATGCAACAGCATACACAGCACCAGCCCACTTAAGAGGCACATGTGTGCACACTAAAAGCTAACTCTTGGCTCCTTACACACAGGTTCCAACACCTGCGGGCCAGACAGTGCTGGTCACTTATTTTACAGGTGTGGAAACTCGGCACAGAGTAGCTCAACAACTGAGTGGTGGAGCTGGGATATGAACCCAGGTGGTCTGGCCCCACGGCTCATGCACCTCACCCCCACCCATAATGCGTCTCAACTTAGTTAATATTGCTATCTTCCTCCTCCCAACTTCACTGCCAGGAGCACGTGTTATTTTTGTAGGTAGTATGACATAAGTCAAAAATAAAACAATGAGAAACCAAAAACTCAATCCCTTTGCAGTTAAGTAAGAAAACCAAGCCTCAGTGTGTCCATCTGTAAAACGGAGACAAACTGAGACACACTCTTTAGCAGCTGTAAGGATCAGATGGTGACCCGCATAAAGCACTTGACCCAGTGTGGCTACTATCAGAAAGACAACATATGCCCAGATGTAAACAGATTAAAACACACAAATGAGGAGCAAGTTTCGTCCTTTGAATAACAGAGGGGAAGAGAGTAGCTCACACACAACTGCCCACAGCCTGTAGTGACCTCTGGAACTCAAGCTACTATCTTGCGCTTGACACCAACCGGCCAGGCCCTGCAAGCAAGTAAGACTCGGGCACTTCCTGGCACTTTATCCTGACAACCTCCGCTGGCAACACACACACGTGCTAGCGTGTGTGAACACCAAGGCGTTCGTGGTCATCTATAATTGAACAATCACAATCATCAGCTTTTCCTCCTACCAAGATGTGGGTCCAACAGGTGCGGCTGCTCCTGATACTTGTCCATTATTACTGAAAAGAAAAATAACATGAAAATTAGTTCTCACTAAGACAAACACACACGTGAGCCTCAGAAACCCTCCTGTTTACCCTTGCTAACTTCTACGGGGCAGCTCCCAAGAGCACACCTCCCCTCTCGCTGACAGATGAACACCTGGGGGGAGTGCACCCCATCTCCCTCCAGCCTCCCGAGGGCCACTATGGCCTGGCCATGTCTGCTTGCTCAGCACACCTTCCTGTTGACTCTTCTCCCACTTCCTCTGCACCCTTCCTCCCTAGTGGGGTCCCTTCCTCACCTCTTTCTTCACTCACTCTCCGTGCCTCCACCTCCTGTTAGGAGCCATGCTCAGGGCTCCCTTGTTATACACACATCCCTTCCAGGCCTCTCCTGCTCCCCTGCCAACTCTTTGAACCCATGACCCTATAACCTCCTTGACCTCAGGCCAGCTGCTTTCTTCTCCTCCCAGCAGCTGAAACCGCTTCTGTCCAATCCAACGACTCTGCCCGTGTGGTTCTCACCTGCCACACACCTGCACATCTCACGACTTCCCAGGAATGCGAAAATGGGCTTTCACTGGCCCCTGGATACGTAACTGGTTCCCTGAACAAAAACGCCTTTTTGTAATTCTTTTACGTTTCAAGTTCCCAGGCCAGTGAGGCTTGCTTACCAGAACTTTGTAATTTTCTGTTTCACTGATCTCCTCCTTTTTGAGTTGGTTTTCAGAAACAGTGGACCCTCCTTGCAGTAAATAATCAACAAGGCTTTACACTACCGGATTGTTCAGAGAAGTCAAGAGAAGCCACATTCTGCCACAAATCTTACCCAAAGACCCGCTGAGCAACCCACTCCCCACCACCACATGTGCACGAGACCTAAAGGATGACCAATATTAACCCCTAGCTCATCATCCTAAAATCTCCACCCAGGGAGGGGATTATCCACCACTTCTTCACCATGCAATGCATGTGCCAGTCTGATCTCTCACTGCCCTGCCCTCCACCCCAAACATGTAGTGATGCTCGCTCGCTCCATACTATTCATTTCACTTCTAGAAAAGCCGTTGCTCAGGGAGGCAGATCTGAGGCAGTCCTCCCACCTCCGGATTGACGCCCTCCGCAATAAATCTCCTTTCTTCCTTGACAATTCTACTTGTCTCAGTAACTGGTTTCCTGTGTCTCCAGCAACACAGGGAACTCGCTAGCGGTCGCGGGGCGACATTCGCCTCGCCCCGAGAACAGCTCTGCCCGAGGCATGGTCACCGTTACCCCCAGCTCACGGCTGCAGCAGCTGAACTCAGGGCGAGCAAGTGACGAGGCCACGCGACAGGGTCAGGATTCGAATCCAAGGCACCTCACGCCGCAGCCCGCCTCTCTCCTGAAAGCAGAACGCCGTCCTTTCAAACCGAGGAAGACAAAACTGCGGAGATTCCTTTAAAGGGTCCGCAGAGACGGTTTTACTGAATTGCAGAACTCTACCTAACTACCTACCCGTGGGGTCCTACGGACGTGTATGGAAATTGTCCACGATAGGCACGTGCACAGGTCCGCCCAAACCCGGAGGACTTAGACTACCCCAGCGACCCGGCACGGCGGCCTCCGCCGCCCGCCGCCCGCAGAGTCACGGGGCTCCGACGGCCCAGCAGGCCCGCTGCCCGCTCCTCCGCCGCCCGGCCCGCTAACAGACCGCGGCCCCCGCACTGACCTGCCCCCGGCGGGCCCTCCCGCCCGCACGCGGAGTCTCACCCGCCCGCCCCAGCCGCGGCCGCGCACGCACCGCGGAACCGCTCCTCCGCCAGCTCCCGGGCCGCGCGGTCGCCGTGCACCTCCCGCAGACGGCCGAGCAGCGCGCGGGTGTCCGCACTCTCGCCGAAGGCCTCCAGGGCGGCGCCGCGGGCCAGAGCGTCGTCCTCCGCCTCCTCGTCAGGGCCGCGCGCGGCCGGCGCGTCGCCCAGGGCCATCTCTGCAGACCCCACCTCACGGGATCG